TGTTGTCATGGTTCGTATCTCATTTTTTTGTATGTCTCTATCTAAAACTTTACCTGGTGTTCATTAAATCGTAAGAACTCAATATATGCACTTTGAAGTAATGGTTTTCCTGACTTTTAGCCTACAGGATTTGCTGTAATTTAAATAGTTACTCACTCTGTTCTATTCACAGTGCTAATCATTCCCTTCTATGTGCCTACCGCATACCTTGTACAAACCTCCATTGTTACACACAGCATCCTGTACTCTCATCATTTCTTTTATTTTCTGTCCTATTAAACATGTCCTCTAGATGAAGAATCTATATCTTATTTAACTTGCTTTTCCAAATACCTAGCACAATGCTTGCCACATGTGGGAAAGTCAGGAATTAGTAACTAAAACAGAATTGAAATAGGTATACAAAGTCATTCACAAATCATCCTGCCAAGTGCAAACCAAGTTATGAATATTTTAATTTTACCAGCATTCTTTAGTCTTAAAAGAAATTTTAAGGGTAGCATCATATTTTTAAAACAAAGTTTCTAATGGCAGGCAAATTCTGGATTTCCCTGAAAATCATTTTTTCCCTCCCTGAGGATACATGGCATTCTATTACTAGAAATTTTTGTATAAAAAATGTGTGAACTAAAACCTAATATAACTTTAAGACCAAAGGTACTGAGCAGTTTAAAAGTGATTCTACAAGGCAATGTCAGAGCTTCAGAAGATTTTTTTTTTTTAATTTTTTTTTTTTTTTAACAGAGAGCTCTGAATGCATTTAACTTACGTGTTTTATGACTTGAACTGACTCTTACCCAGCAAATGCAATTCTTGGAGACTAAGCAAAAATCAATTTAGGAGTTCTCAAAAAACTGTTCTACATTTTTAGATCATCAGAATATACATGTTTTCAAATAAGAAGGAAAATTTTCTTCTGATTTAGCAATCTGAAATACACAGCAGAAATTATGTTAATAATAATCAGTATCTTACTATTAACTTCACTAAGGTACTGTCAAAATGATGAAGAAAAAATTTTTAAAGGCAGGGGCAAGCCCCTGCTCTGGCCTGTAGAGCTTGGAATTCATCATCCCATTCTAAGAAGCACAAAACTTAACAAACTGAAAAACCAACAACTTTTCTTATATCCATTGAGAAAAGTGAGGTCACAGGGCAAACCGCTGCTTCTAAAATTGGAGACACAGATAGACAAATACAGAGAATGACAGTTAACCAGAGCAGAAATCCACAAGCACAGTAACCAGTGCTGCCAGGGTAGAAAAACCTAAGTATAGTTGACAAATTGCTAAAGACTTGAATTAAAAAGGCTGAGAGATAAAAATTCTAGGGGAACCTAGTTATTGGGGTCTTTTGTGAGTTTTATTTCCAGGAGTTCAACCAAGTTCTCATTGTAAAGAGTAGAGAAAAATCCCTTCATGGTTCTGGCAGAAGGAGGCGAAAAGTAAGCATTTCGAAATATACTACAGCGTTCTGTTCTTAACAAGGCCTGCCTTAGGGGAAACTATTTTACCAGAGCCTAAACTATTGAGGTTTTATCAGAGCCTAACTGATCTGGGAGAAGGAAAATACCCAGCTCCAGCCTTCTGTAGCCTTCCACGTGGGAAAAGGGAAATACCCAACTGCAGCCCTGTCTAGCCATCCTGCCCAACCTAAGGGAGGGAAATACTGAGAAGCACTTGTGAAGTTCATAGTTCAGGGGCACAAGCTCACAAAGAGACTAAAACCGAAATATAGGCCCCACTCAGCACCTGTTCACCACTTTACTAAAGGCCTATTATCACAGTTACTGTTACCAAGTACATTATGTCTGCTTGTCAAGAAAAAATTATAAGTCATAGTAAAAGGCAAAAACACAGAACAGACTAAATGAGCATCAGAATCAGAGTTAGATAAGGCAGTGGTGAGGGCTGGGTATAAGAGTCAGAGAATACTTCTGATGGGAAAACTTGAGCCAGGTTTGAAAAGATGTGTGGGAAAAGACAAGGAAAAAAAGGATGAGGAGCATGGGATGACTGTTTGAGTAGAGACTAGCTATGCAAAGACCCAGAGACCTGTGAAACAGTTTAGCAAATTTGGGACATGTGACCTGAATGTCAGCAGTGAGGGTGGCCAGTTAATATTCAGTGCTGGATAGGCAGCTGGGGAGTCATATAGGAAGAGGCTTGTATGTCATGCTAAGCTATATACATGGTAGGAGGAATCTTTAAAGTGTTTCAAACAGGGGAACAGCAGGAATAGCATCATCAAATTTGCCTTCATAAAATATCACTATGAAAACATTGTGGAAAAGAAGGATTAGAAGAAAATAAGATTAGAGGCAAAAAGATCAACTAGAGTTTCTTATAGGAATTTTTATTGGAAATGGACATAGCCTGAACTCAGACAGGAACAGTGGGTATAAAGAAGAATCAAGACGTGACATGGAATGACTCCGAAGGAGACACCCTTGTTTCTGGCTTATGATGGTGCCATTTCCTACATGGAAATGATGATGAATGATGGCAAATGAATAGGGATGGGGAGCAGTCCGGTGGGAATGATATATTTAGTTTGGGGCCATGTTACGGTTAAAATGAAGATCCAAATAAATATGTCAGTAAAGCAGTTGGGAAATTCAAGTTTGAAATTGATTACAAATCCACACCCAATTGTAGGTGAAGAACTAGATAAAGACACTTTGGAAAGAGTGAATAAAATTGCTTAAAATGGAGCCCAATGAATCCTATTATGTAAAGGATAAAATGAGGAGGAGTAAGGAAGCAGAAAACTAGAAAGGATGTCAAGAATGAGTGACCGATGAGGCTGGAACAAAACAGAAAAGGATGGTATTACAGAAACCAAGTGGAGGTCCTGGAATGATGGAATTGTTAATATTAATAAGTGCTTCAGTGAGGCCAAGAGAAGGCAAAAGGATAAATGATACATAAAACTAAAATAGCTACTTGGATTGAAACAAAATGTGTGACCAGTTTTGATGACATAATGGGATTGTGTGGAAATGAAAGCTAGAATTCAGTGGGCTGTGGAGAGAAATGAGGATGGTAGGGTGCATTTTGTCCAAGACACTTATGTCTGAAGGAAAAGTCATAGTAGCCATGGAGTAAAGCACCAGCTATTTCTAAAAATACAGTCCATGAAAGCAGATATACCCCTAGCCTTATTGACGGTTGTAAATTTCTTTTACAGTGTCTGGCACTGAATTCATTTGTTAAATGAATGCGTAAACTATATAGGAGAGACATGAGGATGTCTATTTATCAATAGAAAAAAAAAGAGACTCAGTGTAGGTGCTGGACTGCAAGTAAGAACAAACTTTTAAGAGAGCCTGGGGCTAAGATGTTGTGGCTAGGAGGAGGAGAAGCTCTGGGACTCAGCATAAAACACACACTTTGGAATGAAGACTCTCCTACTCAGACCCGTGGGAATAGGATGGTGAATAATGTCAGAAAATTTCAGTGCAATTCCACCGGGAAGTTGAGTGATGCAGAGACCTGTTTGCATTCTTGAGATTTTGTGGTTACGAATCCAGTGTGTCCTGACCTTGAATGACCCTCTAAAAATGACAAAAATAACTCAGATAATTGTGGGTGTAACAGAGGTAAAGAGGCTGAATTATTTGAAATGATAGTCTCAGTTTTACCTGACATGCTGAAGAGAACTGGTCTTCATTTCCAGTGTTTTGCCAGTCTCAGTGTTAATCATGCTGACTGTTCCTTTCAATACCCCTCTGAGGTAAGTTAGCTCCTCCATTAACCCTGCTAGAAGAAGTCTGACTCAGCAGGAATACTACATGAGAAACAGAAAATCCAGTTCAGACCTTGCAGCCACCCAATCCAAGTTACTGTCTGAGGACCCCATCATTCTTTTCTGCAGATAAAGAAATACCAAGATTGACTCAGCACAGAATGTGTGGATAAGAGTTGAACGATTAGAATACAGCTATCATGTGACTCAAAACCCCATATTTCTAGAATGATGGCAAATGAATAGGGATGGGGAGCAGTCCAGTGGGAATGATATAGTTAGTTTGGAGCAGAACAGAAAAGGATGGTATTACAGAAACCAAGTGGGGGTTGTAGAATGAGCAAGCATACTATCAGAATGAGCATTCATACTATTAGAGCGATATTATTTTAAAACAGCTGCTAGATTAAGAAAGGTGCCCGTGCCTAGTCCCTCTACTGCCTTTAAGCCTGTATGTGGAGTGTGAGAGACCGGTGATCACCACAGGTTCAAATAGAATTTTGTATGTGAATGTAGGTGTAATATAACGTTCTCCAGCTCCAACTTCAAGTATGTGTAAGGCAGTTACTGAGGAAGTTCTCTTCCTGACTACACATGAGCTATCCTTGCAGGGTAATTGCAAGAGTCTGAAATTCTGTACTACCTAGTTTGGGGAACAAGCTGGTGCAATTTGAATTTTCCCATCCACAAAACCACATTTGTATTCCCAGTGGTGTTGGAGAAGTGCGGTTGGATCCCTCCTTTGTGTAAAATCTCGAATCTCTCCTCCGACAGCTCAGGTTGAGCTCATGATACCTGTCTCCATGAGGTAAGATATAATGACAAGGTAATCTGATGATTTACTTTTCCTCTGTATGCCTTTCTTTTCTCTTCTACCAACAAATAATCAGGCAAGTGAAGTGACTTATACTAGTGCGGATTTGAACGATGGGTTTGTTTAAAATTTGATATTTTGTTAATCATAATTTTTTGCATTAACTTTGATTTAATTTTTTTAAATTGGTGCAAAAAATTGCGATTAACAAAATAATCAAATTTAGATTTTTAAAATCAAAACTTATGTAAAAAGGTTGCATTATTATATTATTTACCTTGATAGCTAATTATGTGTGTATGTGTGTGTTTGAGGAGCATATCTTAAGTGTTTTGCCTGAGTGAAGTGCCTACTCACCTTACTATATTCTCCGTGCTGGAAACAAGTGTGTATTTATTTATTTATTTATTTATTTATTTATTTATTTATTTTTTCTTTTAGACACCAAGATTTTTATTTACCCACCTTCCTGCTTTCTTTTAACATTATAGATCAAATTATTCTCTTTTTGACCCAGGGTTGTGATAGGAACCATCTAGTTATAAAGTGGTGGCAGATTTCACGAAATCTGCCTGCATTCATTCATGTTTTTCTGGCCCCTCTCAACCTCTGGTTGTCACTTCTCTATTCTTTCTCAGTTGCCCCTTACCAGTCTATTCTAACCCCTGTAAAACAGGGACTAAAAGTACTAACCTCATTGTTATGAGGTTTAAGACCCAGCACTAAGCCAGACTCTCAGGAAAATTCAAACAACAGTTCCTCTTTGCCCTTCAATATACCCCCTTCTCATCTGTCGTGGGCTGAGGAACCACTGGATCTGGCTCTCAGTAGCGGTTGTGATCCGGCTTGAAGGGGCCATCACGGGACATGCCCAGGTACTGGGCTTGCTTCTCAGTCAGCTTGGTCAACTTCACATTCAGCTTGCCCAGGTGGGCTTCAGCCACTGCCTCATCCAGCTTCTTGGGCAGGAAGTGAACCCCAACGGGGTACTTGTCTGGATGGGTCCACAGCTCGATCTGTGCCATCACCTGGTTGGTGAAGGAGTTACTCATCACGAAGCGGGGTGGCCCATGGCACAACCCAGGTTGACCAGCCGACCCTCAGCCAGCAGGATGATGCGGCGCCCATTCTTCAGCCGGTACCGGTCCATCTGCGGCTTGATGTTCACCTTCTCCACGGCGTTCTCATTGAGCCACTTGACATCGATCTCCACGTCAAAGTGTCCAATGTTACACACAATGGCATTATCCTTCATCTGCTCAAAGTGCCAGCCAAGGATGTCAACACAGCCTGTGGTGGTGACAAAGATGTTGCCCTCCTGACAGGCCTCATCCATGGTGGTCACCTCATAGCCTTCCATGGCAGCCTGCAGTGCATTGATGGGGTCAATCTCAGTGATGATGACACAGGCCCCGAAACCCCGCAGGGCCTGGGCACAGCCCTTGCCCACATTGCCATAGCCTGCTACCACTGCTACCTTGCCGGCAATCATCACATCTGTGGCCCGCTTGATGCCATCTATGAGGGACTCCCGGCAGCCATAGAGGTTGTCAAACTTGCTCTTGGTGACGGAGTCATTGTTGATGGCAGGCACCTTGAGGATCCCATTGGCCATCATCTTGTAGAGGTTGTGGACCCCAGTCGTTGTCTCCTCAGAGATGCCTCGGATGCCTGACAGGAGCTGCGGGTACTTGGTGTGGATGAGGTTGGTGAGATCGCCCCCGTCATCCAGAATCATGTTGAGGGGCCCATCCTTGAAGTACAGCGTCTGCTCAGTGCACCACAGGTACTCCTCGTCCATTTCGCCCTTCCAGGCATACACCGGAATGCCAGCCTTAGCAATGGCAGCTGCCGCATGGTCCTGGGTGGAGAAGATATTGCAGCTGGACCACTGCACCTCAGCACCCAGGGCGATGAGGGTCTCAATGAGGATGGCCGTCTCCACTGTCATGTGCAGGCAGCCAGCAATAGGAGCGCCCTTCAGTGGCTTGGAGGCCAAGTACTGCTCCCGCATACGCATCAGGCCCGGCATCTCGTTCTCAGCAATGTCCAGGGCCTTGCGTCCCCAGGCAGCCAGTCCGATGTCAGCGACTTTGTAGGGCAGTTTGTCAGACATGCTGGAGGCGCTCAAAACAGGCGAAGGGGGCTGGGCCTCAGTCTACGGACACGCACTAGGCGGGCGGCGCCAGGTCATAAGTGTATATTTATTAAAGCTTTGTTTTTCCTTTTAAAATAGTTTCCTTGGCTAGTTATATGAACCTAGATTCACTACATAACCAGTCCTTCTTGGGATAAAAACCAGATGGTGAATTGTTGTGCTCTGAGATAGATTTTACTTTTGGAAATTTTCAGATTATAAAGATTGCCACTTCGTGTAGGTTTTGAAGAAGTTCTGAGGGTAATTGCAAAGGAATGACTAAAAAAGATATTGGACACAGGGATATCATTTAATAATAGATCTTTTTAAAAGTTGATGCTCTGAAGATCCATTTGGGTAGTTAAGGTGAAGATATGTTTGCTCCAAAGGCCACTTTTTTTTTTTTGTGCCATGTATTTTTGATGAAGTAAATTTGAACTTACATAGTTCATATCATCCTGATGCAGAAACACATTAATTCCTTAAATAAATGCATGTGCTTATTTTGTTGACACAAACTAGAAATATGTATTTCTGAGAGGGATAATATCTGGAATATGGATTTTTCCATTTATTGCCCTGTTACTGAAAAAATCCTGCAAAGATTTTGTCTTAGGTCACTGTATTGTGGCCACATGCCTTCATATTCTTGACATGTCTGTATCTGCACACACCTATTTCTAATTTTTTGTTGTAATAGCTTTTGCCTGAAAGCAGTCTAGAATTTCTGTGATAGGAGAAGGGAAAGAGCAAGATAGAGAAATAGGACTTTCCCACTCTTGTTTCCCCACAGAAACATTAATTTGAACAACCATTCATGCGTGAAAATACCTTCACAAGAGCTAAGGGAACCAGGTAAGAGATCACAACACCTGGATGTAGCACAGGAAAGAGAAAAAAAGGTGCATTGAAGAGGTCAAAAAGAACAGTTTTACATTAACCGCATTACCCTTTTCCCAAATGCAGGCAGCACAGTGTGGAGAAGGATGCTCTCTGCATGTGGGAAGGACAGGGAAGTGAGGACCAGACTTTGCCTTGGACCCCAACATAGGCCACTATAGTAAAACCCAGCATGGGGCAGGCTTCTGTGGACACAGGCACCAGACTGAAACTTGCAGACTGAGCTATTACACTTGCCCCAGTGCTTCGCTATATCACATAGCACCAGGCTCCAGGCCTGCCTGCTGAACTCAACCTCTGGTCTTCTCTACCATTGGGCCAACCTCAGTGGCTCCAGGCTTCAGACCACCCTCAGTGCCAGGCCAGCTCCAGTGGAGCTGGGCTTTGGGCCTATACCAGTGGCACCAGCATTTGGACCTGCTCAGGGCCAGGCTGATTCCAATGACTCCAGGCTCCAGACCACCCCCAGTATCAGGCTGACCCCTATGGCCCTAGGCTTTAGGCTTGTCATAGCCCAAGTCTACTCCCAAAGCCCTTGTCATTAGGCCAGCACCCATGGCCAGCCCCTCCAGATGAAAGTTCCAGGTCCATCTAGCAGTAGGACAACTCCTACACCTCCAGACATGAGGCCCATCCTAGGATCCAGCCGAGGCCAGAACTAAGTTGATCCATACAGACCTAGGTGTCATGCCTGTTCCAATGCCAGATTTGCACATGGCTTTAGGCACTATGTCAACACATGTGGACACAGGCTCCAGGCTCCCCAGCAGAGAGAGGCTCCAGCAACACTCGTACATATCCAAGCTTCATGAAGAGTAGAGTCTGTGGACCTAAGGCCTAGGTTTACCCTTGAAGACTTAGGATCCAGGCCCATTCCAGAGGACACAGACTTCAGACCCATCCTACTGCTTGGCCAGCCCCTTCAGATTCAGACTCACAGCCCACGTCAGTGCCAAGTCAGCCCCTGTGGACATGGGTGTCAGGTTAGTTCTCAGGGGTATAGGTTCCAGGCTCACCCCAGTAGACCCTCTTGACAGGCCCATTCCAGTGGATCCAGAACCACCCAGTGGCAGACCCAGGCACCAAGCCAGTAGCTAGATGACTCCAGCAGCAAGCCTTCTGATAAACTATGCCAGAAGGCCTGCCCACAATTTCTGAGTGGGCTGGCAAGTAAAGGGCTTTCTCAGACAAAGCCAGCCTATGAAGACATAATTAAGTGTATACTTCTTCAGATGGGCAGATACCAATGCATGGCCTGAAAAATCAAGGACAATGAGGGAAACACGGTATCTCTGAAGGGAAATAAAGTGCCAGTGATGATCCTAAATAAATAAAAACGCTTGAGTAGCCTGAAAATAATTCAAAATACTGTTTCAAGTAAGCTCAGTGAACTTAAAAAAAAAACAAAAAAATAACCCAGAGAAACGATTCAAAAAAATGAAGAAAACAATAAATGACCAAAATGAGAAATTTAATAGAGTTATAAATGTTTAAAAAATTGAATAGAAATTCTGGAGCTAATGTAATCAATGAAGTGAAAAATGTGTGTGTGTGTTTGTGTGTGTGTGAGAGAGAGAGAGAAAAGTGGGGAGAGAAAGAGAGCAAGAGAGAATCAGTTGCAGAATTGATCAAGTCGAAGCACATCTGAACTCAAAGATAGGTTATTTGAACAGATGTAGTCAGAGGAGCAAAAAGAAAAAAAGAATGAAATGTAATGAAGAACGTTTATGGGATTAGTGGGACAGCATCAGAAGTGCAAATTTTCAAGTCAAAGGACTTCAAGAAAGAGAAAGGGAAGGTGAATGTGTTGAAAGCTTATTTAAAAAAAAAATAGTGGAAACTTTCCAAACCTAGGGAAAGATACAAACATCTAGGTACAGGAATCTCAAAGGTCTACAATTAGGTTCAATCTGAACAGGCCTAGCCCAATACCTATTATAATCAAATTGTCAAAAATCAAAGCAGAGAGGATTCTGAAAGGAGCAAGAGAAAAGAAGCAAGTAATATTTAAAGGAGTTTCAATAGGCTAGCAGATTTCTCAACAGAAATTTTACAGGCTAGGAGAGAGTGGGATGATATATTTATAGTTCTGAAGGAAAAAAAAAACCGTCTGTCAATAATACTGTGCCTGGAAAGTCTGTTCTTCAGAAATAAAGGAGAGAGAAAGACTTTTCCAGACAAACAAAATTTGAGGTAGTTCATTACCATGAGATCTGTCTTACAGTAAATGCTAAAGAGAGCTCTTCATGCTGAAAGAAGAGGTTGCTAATTAGTAACATGAAAACATATGAAAATATAAAATTCATAGGTAAAAGTAAGCACACAGTCAGAAGAAGAATACTCAAATACTCTAATGGAATGTAAGCCATTATATCTTCAGTATGAAGGTTAAAAGACAAAACTATTAAAAGTATTAATAGCTACAATAATTTGTTAAGGGATATGCAATATAAAAGATATGAATTATATCATCAAAATTCAAAATATAGAGAGTGGAGTAAAAATGTGGACTGTGTGTGTGTGTGTGTGTGTGTGTGTGTGTGTGAGATCAAAGTTAAGTTGTTACCAGCTTAAAACAGCCTCTTATAAGATATTTTCATAAGCCTCATGGTGACCATAAAGCAAAAACCTATTGTGGATATGTGATAAATAGTAAAGAACCAAAGGATACCACTAGAGAAAAACACTTACACAGGAAGACGGCAAGAGAAGAAGATGAAAAAAGACTTAAGAAAAGATGGAAAACAATTAGCAAAAGGGCAGTGGTAAGTTCTTGCTTATCAGTAATTACCTCGAATGTAAATAAATTCTTCAAACAAAGGGCACAGAGTGGCTGAATGAATATAAGAACCAAAATACAACCATTTGCTGCCTAAAAGAAACTCATTTCACTTGTAAGGACACAAGTAGTCTGAAAGTGAAGAGATAGAAAAAGATATTTTATGCAAATAGATCCAAAAAAGAGCATAGGTTAAAAATTACATCAAATACAATAGCCTTTAAGTCAAAACTGTAAAGTGAAGGTAATTACAAAGAAGGTAATTTGTAATGATAAAAGGGTCAATTCAGCAAGATGATATAGCAATTGTAGATACATTCAATATTGGAACACCTAAATATAAAAAAAATTAATAGAACTGAAGGGAGAAATAAACTGCAATACAATAATATGGTACTTTAATACACCGCTTTTAGCAGTGAACCAATCATCCAGATACAAAATAAACAAGAAAATATCAGACTTAAACTATATTTTAGACCAAATGGGACCTAACAGACAAATACAGAACATTTCACCAAACAGCAGCAGAATACACATATTTCTCAAGTGCATACAGAACGTTCTCTAGGGTAGATCATATGTTAGGCAACAAAATAAGTCTTAGCATATTTTAAAATACTGAAATTATGTATCATTTCTGATCACAATGGTATGAAATTGGGTATCAAAAACACCTCGAATTTGTGGAAAAATTCACAAATACGTAAACATTAAACAACTTACTCCTAAACAACTAGTGGGTCAATGAAGAAATTAAAAGGGAAATTTAAAAAACTTGAGACAAATGAAAATGAAAACACAACATACTAAACTTATGAGATGAAGCAAAAGTAGTTCTAACAGGGAGTTTTATAGCACTAAATGCTTACATCAAAAAATAAGAAAGAGATCAAGTAAGCAACCAAAGACTGTACCCCAAGGAACTAGAAAAAGAACAAACTAACCCCGAAGTTAGTAAAAAGAAGGAAATAATAAAGCTTAGAGCAGAAATAGAGTAGAAAAACAATGTAAAAGATCAATGAAACTAAGAGTTGGTTTTTTGAAAAGATAAAGTGCAATCCCCAAATTCATATGAAACCACAAAAGACCACAAATACCTATAGCAATCTTGAGCAAGAAAAATAAAGCTGGAATTATTACATCATTCGATTTTAAAATATACTACAAAGCTACAGTAATAAAAAAAACAGCATGGTACTGGCATGGAAATAGACACATAGATCAATGGGACAGAATAGAGAGACTGGAAATAAATCCATGCATTTATGACCAACTGATTTTTTTTATAAAGATGCCAGGAATATACAATGTGTGAAGGACAATCTTTTAAATAAAATTTTGTTGGTAAAACTGTGTCCACAT